GGCCGCCCGAGCTCCGCGCGGCCTGCGGCGGGGTGACCCGCAGCTCTGCTCCGGGCAGAGCAGGCAGCCCCGTCCCGGCCTCCTCCAGCGCTCCACGCGCCCCCGACACCGCGCCGGGGCCCGGCCGGGCCTCCCGCCCGCCCGGCTGTCGCGCCGCGGTTGCCTCGGCAACCGGCCGCCCCGGGGAGGCCTCGGGGCAGGGGACGGCGGGCGCGGGGCGGCGCTCGGCTGGGAAAGGCGGCGGCGAGGCGGGCACCTGCTGCTGGGCGCCCCGGCGGTGCGTGCTGCCTCGGCGCGCCTCGTACGGCCCTAGTCGCGTTGTATCCGGGTTGGAAGGGGACCACCGCAATCCCCGCGTGCTGGCTGCGCACGGGACCACTTAGAATTGAAACCATACGGCGTTTCTTAGAGCCGCGTCCAAGCATTGCTGACTCGTGGCAGCTCGGGCCGTGTCGGCTGCCCTTGACAGCCCGTTCCATGCCCACTGCCCTCCGGCAAAGAACCTTTTTCCAACACCCAGCCTGACCCTCTCCTGACGCAGTTCCACACTAGTAACGACAGCTTTGTTCTCCTATCTTCTCCCTACCGACTTGCTCAGGCCCCCTGGAGAACAGCTCTGAGTCCAGCCCCCACAAGTCCTGCAAGCCCTCACCTCAAAAGTGTCATGGCGAGCACTTGGCCTGTTTTAACGTGTGCTCCGTGCCCGCCTTCGGGGTGACGGCAGGGAGAAAACTGCACCCGTATGTGGGCAGGAGGAGGATGCAGGCGTGGAGTGCCCACCGTGTCCACGAATTTTCTAACATTGTTTATTGTTGCACAGCTCTGGGCAGACAACAAAGTAGTTCAAAAAGTGTCAATCAATCAAAAAGTGATTGCCCCAAAACAGTAGGAATTAGCACTCCTGGACTGAACCTTAAGTATTTATTGGAGCCTAACATTTTAACCAACTAGCTGATTGCATTGTTGCCACTGAGCTCATCCTTCGGAGTTGAAAAACTTTGTACTTTTAGTTTAGCTTAAACTGCCAATATTAGTAGCTGGAATTATTATATGTAATTATTCTTTATAAAGAAAACATTGATCATTTAATCAATTATATATATATTTACTTATTTTTCAATATATATATACAAACAGCTTCTTCGTTAGCTAGAAATCTGTAAGTTTGGACCTGTAATCAGCTAAGCTTGGAACAAGACTAGAGGGGAAAGGCAGGGATTTACTGCTTAAAACACTCTGCTGCTCCTAAATCCAGGGATCCAGGGACTAATCTGTGCCAGCCGAGACTTCAGGATCACTGGTGACTCTGAACCTTTCACCAAGAATATCCCAACCACTTTAAACACAGAGCTGGCTAAAGGCATCTGCAGCAGTGCTGTATAGCACAGTTGATCTCAGTATGATAAATGGCCAAGAGCCACTTCCAGGATACCACATTGGTCAGGAGTTCCCAACATATTTAAACTTTGTCTTGGGAAGCTAGGCCAATTGCAGCAAGACTCCATCACAATCACGTCTACAATATCTACTACATAAACCAAGGCAAGCCAGTGAACTATCTGTGAGATGCCTTTTTTTTCCTCGATGCCTTTCTAAGTTGCTGAGAATTAGAAGTATTCTACCTAGAGGTTATTTCAAGGTATCTTAACTATAAGCTGCAGCCTTTTGTCTACTCTTTACCTCCATGAGCAGCTGCTCCCTTACTAGAACTAAATTTCTCAGCACGTATAGTCACTGCCTTTAAAATAGCGTTTTATAAGTTTGTTTTAAAACAGCTTTAAGTCTTTTTGTTCTTCATTTTGGTAAAACATTTATTCCCTCTTTCAAGAGGAGTTTGATATATATCACCATCTGAAGAAAGTCATGTCAGTTTTAAGTTAGCTACGGATACAGCTGTGCAGATTGTATTTCCTGCCAATATCAGGACCTTCTCAACTGCCTGTCTCTTTCCAGTTCTTCCCTCTTCAGCTGTGCCCCATCCAAGCTTTCTTGTCTTTGTCTGCTAGCAATTTGCAGACCTTTTCCATACTTATCTACTATGCACCAGGCAGCCATTTTCACTCCCCTCCATTAGCAACATCAGACTTGACTATCGTACTTCTGCAGCCATCTGATGTACTACCCAGTTTCCACAGAATCCTACCCTATTTGAACACAGGATTATCACCTCACCTCTAAATCCTCTATAGTGCTCACAGGAAACTAGGTAACTAACGGATGAGTTAAAATACAGAACGCCTAAAACTTCATACAGTGCAGGATAATGTTGGATGAAGGCTTTTGAGCAAAGGTTACTCTCACATGCAAAGTAGCGACTTTGTAAATTCAACAGAACAGATCTGATAAAGTTACAACAGATCTTTAACTAAGTCAATATGACCACAGAAATACAAAGATTCTTATGCACAAATGCTTTTATACCTACTGCTGCTGTTACAATTAACCAAACATTTGCTGCAGGGAACCATGGGGGAAGGTTTTCATTTGTATTTTGACTGGAAATTCAAAATTTGTCCTGTTGACATTATGTTTGCTTTTGAGAGTTATGTATTTTTGGATAAGGGACTAACGTGAAATACATCCACCACATTTTTAGAAAACAGTCGCTAGGTGAATTCTACTTGATTCTACTCTACTGAAATACTGACTCCTAGACCAAGGGGTGCAGAACAGGCATTCCTGCAGAGCATCTACAGGCTCGGTATATTAGCTGGGTTGTGTTCTGACATCTGTCAAGCACTGATCACCACCTAGCCTTTAATGAGAGCAGTTTGGAGAAAGATGCTCTTCAGCATGGAAGACTGACTTCACTCTTTCTAACTGGATCAACAGCACAATACAGTGCAAAGCCAGTTCACATATTTATATATATACGTATGACTTCCCTCAGATGATTATTTTTTTAAAGTAAAATTTTATTCATGTACTCAAATGATTCAATTTGAGATCAAGACGTTTTTTGAAGAAAAATAATGTAAGTAATTTGATTATGCCTACAATCAGATGCTGTGTTCTACAGGCAAACGATTTCTATGAAACTGAACAGTTTCTTGCTATGTAGCTGCGATTCATGCATTTAAAATGATAAATTTAAAGCTACCAATAGTAAATCAATTGCAAGTATAGAAGATAAAACTGAAATTATTCATCATATCACTATAGGAGAACACAAAGTAGTAATAATAGGTCGTTTTGACTTTAAATTGAAATCTGTTTCTAGGTTTTTCAAGGACAATTCGCTTTACAAAACTTTAATGTATACACAAAAGTCATCCATCAGCACATCTGATCCAAATATACTAATGATTTTTATTGGTCAGATCTTTAAAGTGAGGTTTATTTTTATGGAGTATGCATTAATTAACCCAACATGTACTATCTTCCAGTATATCTAGCCAAGTACTTTCATTTAAACATGTTTATTGTGAAATGTTTGCATTCCCAACATTTGTGGCCCACACACAGACTATTTCATACTTCACTTCTGAGCAGTTACAAAAGTTAAAAAGAGTTATTGTTTTTGATTAATGCATATTTGGGGACTTTTTTTTTCTTTTTTTTTTTTTTTTTTGAATGTTCCAAAACTAAACTCTGAAGACATTCTACATGAAAACAGCCACACGTACTTATCTTCAAAATGGAGCACTGAGAGAAAATGAGCGGGGCTCACTTTCGATCACTTCCACTTCTTCGTGGAACGTGGACATTGTTAACTTTTGTATATAACTCGACTGAACTTATGCGGAATATTAACTGATTGATTTGATGTAACTTAATCATAAAAAGAAAAGCTACGTAGGCAGATACGTGGAGTGGTGCATTACAGATGGGAGTTCTAAGGCTGTGGCTGTCATCTTTTGATTAAGAAAAGGAAATGATTTCACTAAAAAGATATTCCCTCTTGTGTTGTTTTAACTGAGTTTGTACTTTCCACCGAACTGGACATATTTATTGAGACTCATAAGTTACTTCACGGTTACCAACATCACTGTAATCTCAACAAACTATCTTTTTTCTTGCCAATTATCTAAATATCATAACTATAAAATATCTTAAAACATTCTCTATAGTGTAAACATCTTAGCTACAAAGCTTTAAGTGTAAACAGTATGATGCATCAGAATGATTTTAAGCGATGTTATAAAAACTGCTCTTAAAAACTAAACAAAAATGTAAAGCTTCCATCTGTTTTATGATTTTTCCACTGTAGAACTACTGCTGTGTGCCAGTTTACTGAACCATGGCTTGCTAAAGAGATTGCTGGGGTCACAGATTGAAAAAACAAAGAGCAAGTCTTTAATGGCTGATTTTTTTTTCTCAAGTCTCTTCAATACGGTTTGAGCAGAATTAAGTGCATGGCAGCAGAAAACACAGAACATAAAAACGCTCGTGTTGCCTGTTGCAACGGGTACCTTCACAGGAAGATCAGCATTTTGGAGGAGATGTCATTTAAACAATTATCTTAAGTTCTTTTCTGACTGTATACCTATGTTTCCACCACCAAACAGCTGCTATGCTGTGATTCTTTGCACTGTGTATGTACAGAGTTGATTATAGACTGTATATCGCATACAGGAAGGAGCATAGACAGATTTACTTTGCATGCATCCTTACCCAGATACGAGAGAACAATAATTCTGAAATTCTGGACATTCTTTACTCTGAATGCTGAGAGAAGGGAAAGCCACAGAAGGTACAAAAAATTCTGTCTTAAAGAATTGCATATTTAAATAAAGCAGAACAAACCTACCAAACTATTCAGTGCCAAGCCAGACTGCATTCTTCTAGAAGTGAAAATACAGTTATGCTTACATCATAAGTCTGCTTACATCACAGAGGAAAAACTGAAGAACCTGATATACAGCAAAGTACAGTACGCTTAGCTACAAGCATTTAAGTACATTTATGCACTGTCCTGAAATAGTTTCCGAAATAAACCTCGCTTACAGAATGCTAGCAGTTTGGGGGTTGCAAACACATGGGCAGAATAGGCTGCAACTATATTAAGTTGATTGATCTGGGAACTTTCTAGAAACAACATGAATGTCAGACATCGTAATTCCTTCCTTAATCTACCTACATTCCTACTGGACAGCTATCATCAGATTTTCTCATCAAGCTCCGCCTTATTTCTGGGGTCTTGTCACTTACTGCTTAGGGACTGCAGTCTTGGGAAGCAAACTTGTCTCCTCATGAGTCAGACGTTAAGACCTCAGTCACCATTCCAGTAGAGGCTCTGGTGAGAATGCACTCCACTGAGGAACCTGTGGCCAAACCATTCAAGCTCTACCTCCCTCCCACATACACAGAACTACCAACTAGAGCTGAATTTTATTCCTGTCAAAGTGAAGAGGCAGAAAACTCCTCAAAGGCAGAAATCTTTTTGTTCTTTACTGGGCTCCATCTCTGACTCCACGTGTGGGGAATAAAAGTAAGCAGTCTGTCAGCACACAGAGGGATGCTGACTCTATCCCTTGGCGTTACTCCTGCACCAAATAGAGATCTGGCACACAGCTTTGATAATACATCCTAAATGAATCCAGATTAATTCATGGCTGAACTGTGTTATCCTTACAAGAAGGGCCATTCCCATTATGAGAAAGGGTGACAGGATCCATACCCCAGTAACTAATGCAGCCACCTTGCCGTAGAATTGCAGCAGTGCTCTTTCCACTTGTGCGCATGGCCTTCTGTCCAGGGTTCCCTACTCACACTGGATAGAATCCTATAATATTTACTCATGTAAAATCATAACCACAGTGAAGCAGTTTTTGCTTTCAGTGTTGTGGAGCAAAATCCTTGTGTCTACACTGCACTGCCTAGGGCAACTGCAACTCCTGTATGCTTTATATGCCAAAATGCTTTCTAAGAAATTGGAGATCCAACGTTACATGCTACAATCCTGCTGCACTGTGAAGCTTTCAAAATGACCACATCTGCAAGAGTTGCAGCAACTGCACTACAAACACAGCCTACACGATTCTGAGCAAATTCCAAACATGCTCTAACATTCATGTTATCCACTGTCACCTGTGTTCTCAACAACATGGCATCTTCAGTCCTAGATATTTGGCTCTATTCCCACAAGGAGCATTATTTGAAGGTGGAAAAAAAAGGCCCTCATCCCACAACACCAGCTGTTTAACTACTGTCAGGGAAAGGGTGTTTGTTTAATTCACAGATACATTTTAGCTATTAGTTGGCACAAACCACTGAATCTAGGCTCTTTCTACCCCTAAACAGGAAATAATCTGTTCCATGTGATTTTCAGGGATTCAGTTGAAGCAGAGATCTTACATGCATATATTTGAGGGTCTCTCACCTTTTCAGGAAATACGTAAGTCAATTAAAGAATTAATCACATTGTATCTACAACATCTTACCTGCTGCTGCCAGAGCAGTGAAGTCTAGTAGTCTGTGCACATGTCTAGGGAACAGGAACAGACATCAACACACTCTGTGGCTGGAAGAGGCCCTTTAACCTCTTTGCCTCTGTTTCCCCATCTGTAAAACAAGGCGAAAGAGAGAGCTGAGTAAATACTAATAAACACTGCAATTCAAAGTAAAACTTGGAGTTAACAGCATTAGGAACACATTTAACCATATTCTGGTTTTGTCTGTCTGCAAAATTTGGAGCATATGTGCTGTACCAATATTAGCATGTCTTCACAGTCAACATCTAGAATGCTTAAATATGCACTGATTTCAAATTTCAAATTGAAGTTTGAATTTAATATTCATTCTGTAGATGTAGCTGCATCGACCATTAATCAGGGAATAGAATTAAGACCACTTAATTTATATAATCTACACATAGTGGCCAAAAGGTATACTTTTGAAGCTCTCAGCTCAAATTTTTAAAATTATTAGCTGCTTAAGTAGATAAACTTCAGCACACAACTAAAGGAGTTGTTATGAATTGTTTGTTCAGATCTACCTACCCAGTGCTTTTTTCCTTCCTTAAACTACCTCTACATAAAAGGAAAATTGAATTAAATACTACCTAATGCACTGTCTTTGTAGATTAGTTAATTTTTAGGCAAGTTAAAAGAATATGTAATGCAAATACTTAAATCTACTAAAGAATTATATATATAAAGTCACCAAAATCTATATAGATGTGTTTTAAAAGAACGTTTCAACCCTGCTTAATGCTTGTATCATCTCAGCTGTGTCCTGGTCTCTTCTCCAGCCCACTTTCTCAAGTACATACATACCTTTGCTCAGATGAGCAAACTCCATTGACCACAGTTACAGTCACAATCTCTAAGCACATTTCTTTCCTATGGTTGCTTGGGTTTCTCACTATAGCATGACCTGTTTTTCATACTTGTTTTTTCTTTTTTGTGTGTGTGTGTGTGTGTCTGATCAGTGTTTAGAAATCTTAACCTTCAGAGAAATGAGTTACGATAGAGAAAACAAAGAGGAGAAAGTACAAAGCTAATGCCTCGTGCTTTAGCTCAAAGAAGCCAATGTTTCCTGACTACGGAAATGTCATTCCCAGGTAAAGATGAAAAACTCTGTATCATGTCTCAGGAAACCAGAATATAGCAGACACTTAGCTAGTTTTCTCATCTCAGACAAAACCAGTGTGGATAAAGCTGGCCAGCCTGCTTGCACATCTCCTTCTGAAATCACTAATAAAGTTTGAGAGGGGTTATTTTTAAAGCAGCTCTTAGAGTGTTCCAGCTCACTACTGTCAGCTTCAGATCTCAAATATAATTTGATTTATAATTACATTTAAAAAATAGCATTAAAATAACATCAGAGGGGTCATAATCCAAACTTTTTAATAGTTATGCACGTAGCATAAATTTTACAGTAGACCTCCAACAGGATTCATCTGGAATATATTCTGATCAAAATTCCTTCCTTCAACCAAGCAAGTACTCTGCTGAAGTTGGTTTGCCAAGAAGCCTGTGTGGAACCCTGTATTTCAACGTTGCTTCAGATGTAAACAGACTGACATACACTGTGGGATATTTGTTAGTCAAAGTCTCTCCTTGCATTACAGCCAGACCCACGTCTGTAAACACCGGTGGGTGAGAAAGTGTCAGAGAATCTAGGATTGGACCTCTACATTTAGAAGACAGGCACGGCATTCCCTGCAGCATCCCGTTTGCTCCATCCTGAACTCTGCAGAGTTCTAATATTCTTAGCCTCTCTGATGTGGAGTGGCATTTACTTAACTCAAATTGCTCAAGTTCTTCACCGTCAACCAAAATGTTTATGTAGTGACAAAGCAGCGGCCCCAGCCCCTTTTTATACCTGGTGTCAACAGAGAAAAAGCTCTTTTCCCAGCTGTGCCAACTACTCACACCAGCATGCAATGAACTTCGCAATATTTGTTGCCGTAGCTGCAAGACTGGAAATTCTTGAAGACAAGACGGGATTGTGATGGGAGACGCGCTTTAAGAAAAATTTGCCTTGTGCGCTTCTTCTGACCTTCTGATAAGAAAACTTCACTAGTTCTGCACCGCTGCCTGGCTACAATTTCAGAGGAGCAGACAGACAAAGAATTCAGTTTCTGAATGCTAGTGCTAAAGTAAATGATCTGGTAAAAAAAATAAAATAAAAAAAAATTTGTGCCTTAAAACCAAGTTTGAAATTTTATAGGCTTTTACTCCATAATTTGTACTTGAGCCTTCTGTTATTTTTAAACAAATTTAATTTCTTACAGCTGTGAAATTTACATTTTAAGAGTGTCTAGTGGCCATGTGCATTAATTACTTTATTGTAATATTTTAATGAGTTTGGGGTTCCACTCTGACAGAATCCTACTGAATCCTTCATTCCCCACAGAATTAAACTGGGACCTGATTCAATCACAGTCTCACACACCTAGACCCAAACCCTGCTGGACTTGCACAACATTTTCAGTTGTCTTGAAATTCAGTTGTCTTTCAGTTGTCCCTGAATTTTAAAACTGGCTCAAAGTTTTAGCATTTCTTACCAAACCAGTGCTATTCTGAGCCAAGAGCAGAGCTAGGCTTTGAGAAAGTTTGTATTTAGAGCTGAACTTCACGGCTAAGTCTGATCTTAACCAAAATTGGTAGAAAAATGCAAAATTCAGCTGAAGCTAGCATTTGGAATGATATTATTCTTAAGCACATTTATGTAATGCTTCACTCGCTCCCATCTGCGTACATACAACTCAAAAACTTTTAGGCCTAAAAAGTTGGACTTTTAAAGAGCATCTAAATTCAATGGGGAAAATTGGAAATTCACTACTGAAGGATTTTCGCTTTATACACTGTGTATAGTTGAAAAGCATTATTATAACTATACTTCTGCCATGTTATTCCCTTTGTGGATACTGGTGGTTTGTGTGAAATAGTTTCTTCTTCATCTTCATCAGTAGCTTCTTCAAGAGGTGGTGAACTATGGGAGGTAGAGAGGATTTGGGAGATAAGTAAAACGAGACTTGATTTTAGCCAGTACTTAGTTTTTGTGCTTGTCATTTTGCAGGTCTAATTACTTATCTTGGGGATGGAGCCAGAAGCCTTCAGACCACTGAGGGTCACTGCAGTTTGAACTGAGGTGATAAACTTTCTGCCAGCATCTAAATGCACTTCAGTTCTTCATGAATAAGCTGAAGATGAAAATGCATAACACACCAAATATCAGGTTCAAGTATCAACTCATAAACACAGGAGAAATGGGACTGGTGGTTTTAGTTGGCTGCCAATAGCAAGAGGTTCATCTGTTATGAAGTGCAACCCTACGCACCGCAGCATTTGGAGATCAGACCATTTATGTCCACACCTCTCACCTCGCTTTGCTAGGCCAAGCTCAGAATCGTAACTCCAGTGCTACCCAGCTTTTAAAAAGCATGTTTTCAAACCACTTACAATAAGAGCAACAGTTATTATTCAGTACATGCTTTTTATCAGATTGAAGATAAACTTTATTATAACTGGTGGAGATGGTATCGATGATTTGTGGTCTATGAGAATTCTGTAATGAGAAATGGTAATCTGTCTTGAGGCAAACAATATTGTTCTGTTTACTATGCAATTAACAATATTAAGTCAAGATTCTATAACTGATAACTGCAAATAAGGGTGGGAGGAAGAAACTGGAAGCACTGGTAACTTTCACAGGAACTGAGAACTATAAATTATTTGTGGTGCTTCAACCTGACATTCTCTCTCACATGCTCAAAAATGTTCTTCACCACTCCAGAGATGTTTCCTGTAGAAGCATCCAGACTCTAGGCAGTCTGGGGCAAAGCCAGAAGCTCTCCCTGTGGCAAGTACTGAGTGTACAGGAGGTGGAGAAATTTCTTTTTCAGAAGAGCATCAGTAATTGCAAACAAAGTTGCCTTGGAAAAAGTATTAAAATAACCAGCAAGAGGGACAAAACAAAAAGTGAGACTCCCTGCTTGATTCCTAGCATACTAAGTGTGAAATAAAGGGAATAGTCCGACTCTGCATTTCTTCGCTTCTGCAGACTCAGTGCCATACCTTTGTAGGACTGAAATCCTGTACTTCTTGTTTACTCTTAAATCAGCCTTAAGCAACCACCATATGGAGCTGTGAAACACCACAGACGTGGCAGAAATGGGCCTTAACTAACGATCAGGGCAAACTGTACTGGAATTCTAAAGGGGCACTTTCAAGTGGCTGCTTAAGACAAGAGCTGACCTATAATGGAGCTTCTCTGTAAAACAATACAGTTTTTACTTTACATTATAAAGCCCAGAACTGTAAATATTGACCACAAAAATCTTACTGCCTTTTTCCAGTCTTCCCATTAATTGTACATGTAGTGCAGCTTTTTGTCCCAAATCTGCAGCGGTCAATTTTGAGGTTACCTCAAAGGGAACCCAGGCAGAATTACGACACTGTTCTCTATGGCAAGCAGTAACTATAAAGTATAAGGGTCTTTCTTGCTAAATTACTGCTAAATCTTAAAAAAAAGAAAAAGAAAAAAAAAGAAAAAAAAAAAAAAAAAGCATTCTTAAACTAGCCAATTCTGTTTGTAGCTCTCTGGAAATGCAATGCTCTGTGGAGAGCTCCATTGCACCCAGCAGGCAAAAGCCACATTTAAGACAGCATGACGCACCAACGCTGTAACAACCAGGATGCTGCAAGGGAGTGATTGCTGCTGGCAGCCCCAGAGCCCCTCTCCTGCACCTCTCGCCCTTAAGGACTGGTGCCTTAAACTCCCATATACCACTGAATAATAACGTCTGGCTGATCCAAAAGATTAGCAGCTTATTCCACCTTTGTTCTCTGCCTTCTTTTTAAGATGAGCAATGAATGACACCACAGCAGGCATAACTCTCCAGCACAAAAGCTAACAAAATTGTAGAATGTTTTAAGGAACGATGTAAAACTTAACAGAGTTTTAGAAGGGTATTCGCACACAACATCTGTATATAAATCCCAGTGCCACATGGAAGGGCTTCCAGATTTTCTTCACTTTCCCCAAAGAATGCAACATAAAATAACTGTAAGAGTGGTCATCTCTTTAAAAGTGGTAAAATTCAAAGAAATTGA